AAAGTTTCTTGAGCCTTGTGCACACCACCCATCATTCAACAAGAACTGGCCAACGTTCACCGTTTGTTATTGATTTTAGTGAAGTCATAACACAACAACTATACTAGAAAGTATAGTTCAACCACCTCATTTCTGAAGAGAGTTGATGCTTATTAGGTGGTTTACACACAAAAAGCTTCTTTAATTGCTCAAAACCAAACCATCACATCGTATAATTATCATAAACCCCCTTATAGTCTTATGTCACGGGAGAGAGTTTCATCTCTAAAAAGCTAACCCATTAGGTTGAGGGACTGTTGGAACATGAAATACAAAACTAATAGTAAGAAAATGTTACTGACTCCTTTGCTATTTTATTTCTCCTTGTTGAATCCTCACAAAGTACCCCAAGTGTGGTACCTCTAGATCGATACACATAGGATCTCTCGCTAATGGGAATTAACCCACTACAATGGAATCAAGAACAACTTCTTCATTGGGATGCCAGAGAATATTGATGGCAAGGGTTTGCTTATAATTTTTCTCTTATGAAATAATGAACCATAAGCCTCCTTTAAATAGCCACCAAATATTGGATAGTGAGCAATCCTTGGAATATCTTATTCCAGCTTAATTTATTCTCTGATGGATTAACTAATAACTAAATCTATGTTCATTTGAGTGCTAGCCCAATTTAGGTCCAAGTTTAATTACCAAACCCATATATAAAGCCTCTTTATTTGGACTTAATTCAACTAATTAATCAATTAAATTAATTTATCCAATTACAAAAATACTTTTTTAAGCAATTCTACTAATTAGTCAATTAGGACTTCTGGAAACTTTAATATCCTCATTAATGAGAAAATCTCTTACTCCCATCAAGCTTAGAAATCCATAATGTGTGTGACATTTCTAGGTTCATTTATCAATTGCCAGTAAGGTAAATATCAACTCTTGATATCCATCTTCCTTATAAACCATGAGTGACACTTAGCGGTATATCATGGCCCCCAATCAATGAATGAAGTGGGATCATATGAACCTGTAAAATTGAGTGTTTTAGTCATGTCACCTCATTCCCTCCGATGTCGTGTTCCAATTAGGGCTGCAAACGAACTGAGCTGTTCGCGAACAACTCGATGTTCATTCGATAATTATTCGATTCGACTCGATAACAAACTCTTCATGAACAGCTTGATGTTTGTTCGATAATATGTTCGATTCAAGTTCGAACATAGGATGTTCGTTTGATTATGTTCGCGAACATACTGTGTTCAACTGATCCATTCGTTCGTGAATAATCTGTTCGATTATTCGTTCATTTATGTTCGAAAAACATGGTATACATTATTATATATATTTATATTTTTTCTTTTTTATATTATGTTTGGTTTAGTTTGGATGAATTTTTTTTTAATGGTAATTAATAATAAAATATTATGATGCTTTTGTTTTTCTTATATATATAATATGTTTGGATTTTTTTTTTTTCAAATGTCATCAATAATTAAATATATAAGTATGTAGCATTTTAATTAAATAATAATAAATTATTATGATACATAGCATGCCAAATTTAATAATATAATAGATTGTATAATCAAGTGATATATAACATAGTAAATCTAATAACATAATAGCTTTATATTTTTTCAAATGTAATCAATAATTAAATATTATCAGATAACATTTTAATTAATAAATAATAAATATAGTATGGTAAATTAATGAACATAATATATTATATAATCAAGTGATGTATAGCATGACAAATTTAATAATATAATAGCTTAATTCAATATAGTATGGTAAATTGATGAACATAACTTATTGTATAATCAAATGATATATAGCATAACAAATTTAATAATATAATAGCTTAATTAAATATAGTACGACAAATTCATGAACATAACATATTGCATAATCAAGTGATATATAGCACGACAAATTTAATAACATAATAGGTTAATTAAATATAAATTAATTACACATTTGTATTGATCATACATTATAACAGACCCTCATACCACTATGAATTTATGGATGTTGATACAAAACACACACACACACACATATATGTGTGTGTGTGTGTTTTGGTAATTTAATAACATATTAAATATATTTAATTTATGGTTATATATACACAATTACACATTATATATATAAAACCCAATAACCAACAAACTATCCCGGCTTAGCCCAAATTTTAAAACAAAAATCCAAACCCAATTCCACATTTTCCCTTACCCGGCCCAAAATCCAAATTCAATTCAGTCACAGCCCTAATTTGGTTAATTGAACAAACTCGAACAACCCTAAGTTATTCGAACGAGTTATTCGAATAGATATTTACAAGTTATTCGAATGAGCTAATCGAACAATCATGAACTGCTCGATTAGTTAATCGAATGAACTCAAACAACCATTCTGTGTTCGTTCGAGTTTGAAGATGATTTCGAACACCTTTTTATGCTTATCGAACGAGTTTCGAACGGGGGTGTTTGTTTGTGTTCGGTTCGATTGCAGGCCTAGTTCCGATCAAGTGTAGACCACGGTATAGTCAAATTCCTAACTTGATCACACAATTTGGATCATCTTAAAATATGGAATTGTGTTTCTATGAAACTATTTATAAAACACAAATGTTTTGGCCAAAGACTTCCTCCACATTCGTTGATCCCTTGGAACACTCAAGCTCGTAATATTCGAGTCATCAGATTCCTTATTGAATACGCTTGTGACTCTGTACATGATTAACTCATGACCAACAAGCATACACACTAAATATAAACAATCTAGTGATAACGTACTAAAGAACCACGAGCTCCCATGCATAAGACATGATTGCATTAGCCTTAATCTCTACTATTCACCAGAAGGTGATAAGGTTATTGTGCTCTATAGTATAAGGGTGTTAAATATATTAAACAATGGGGACTATTTGGTGTTTTAAAAAAACAAATGGCTTTAGAAAATTACCATTTCACCCTAGGCACGCGAAAATCATATGAGCCTACAATGTTTTAGAAATATCATTAATACCCCATATCATATACACCTCATCAGTTTTTGATAGATAACAACTCTCTAGCTAACTCTAATAGCTTGTCCTTAGTTTATATTACAAGTTGCAACTCGTCTCCACGAAGCCATAATTGTTAATAATCGTTAATCAACTGTATAAAAAGTGAATTTGTTCCCAAGCCTTGTAAACACCACCCATCATTCAACGAGAATTGGCCAACGTCCACCTTTGTTATTGATTTTAGTGAAGTTATAACGCAACAACTATACTAGAAAGTATAGCTCGATCACCTCCTTTATGAAGAGAGTACTACATTGACAAACCATTATCACAAACTTTCTCTCATAAATGCGACGTGATAGCTCACAATAGGTTTCGTTTGCCCAACAATGGGTCCTGCCTGACCAATTGCGAGCTATCACATCTTGTTTGTGAGAAAAAGTTAGTGAGAAAGGTTTGTCAGTCTATCTTTATTGTAATGCTTATTAGATGTTTTGGTTTGACATTACTTTGCTCCCAAAAAGCTTCTTTGATGGCTGAAAAAACCCCTTTATATTTTAAACAACAAAGCTACGGACATCGAAAAACTTACACCGAAAATGTGTACCGGCCTATTTGTATCAGGCCTCTGATTTTTTTAACAATATAATATGGACGGGAGTCCATGTGAGTGGCTACATGTTTTAATTTTTGAAACTTCCCCAAAATTTTTAACCTAAAATGCGACTTTTTTTATATTTTATTTTGATTACAGTAAAGGACAGGCGTTCATAAGGGTGGGACGACCGTCCTTTACATAAGGGACGGCCGTCCAACCCTTACGGACGACCATCCATAACTAATGGACGGGCATCCATTAATCATGGACGCCCGTCCACAATAAAGGGTCAGCTGTCCACCATTTATGGACGGTCGTCCTTTGTTTTATTTTATTTTTTAAAGCAAAAGAAAGGACGAGCGTCCTTAAATAATGGACGCTCGTCCTTAAGTAACGGACACCCGTCCATAAAGAATGGACGGGCGTCTATCACAATGGTTTTTACTTAAAACGGACTGCATGAACACGAACTGCATGAGCTTTACTTAAAACGGACTGCATGAACACGAACTGCATGAGCTTTACTTAAACGAACTGCATGAGCATGAACTGCATGAGCTTTACTTAAACGAACTACAAGAGCTTTACTTAAAACGAACTGCATGAGCTTTACTTAAACGAACGGCATGAGCACGACCTGCATGAGCTGAATGAGTAAAATAAGCCTAGCTCATTTTCAGTCTATCCTAACATCCTTTCGTAAACAAAAGTAAGGGACGGCCGTCCACAATTGGTGGACGAGCGTCCCCAAAGATTTTTTTTTTTTTTTTTCATATTTGGGTCAAGGATGGACGTCCATTATTTGTGGGCGCCCGTCCATAATGGATGGACGGCCGTCCTTAATGTTTGACAAATTTGTTTAATTGTATTTTATTCAGGGACGAGCGTCCTTTAAATGAGGACGCCCGTCCCTTGTATATGGACCCCCGTCCATATAATATGGACGGGAGTCCATGTGAGTGAACGGCCGTCCAGGCCATCCAAATTTGATGGACGACCGTTCACTAGAAAAAATTGTTAAAAAAATCAGAGGCCTGGTACACGTAAGCCAGTACACAATTTCGGTGTAAGTTTTTCTGTGTCCGTAGCTTTGTTGTATTTTAAATGTTGCCCTAACATCAGCCTTAGAAACAAATAAATAGATCCTTGTTGATTTGAAATTATTAATAAATTTCATTTGAACCCCAATAATCGTTTACGTAAACAATGATTGGCAATCGTTTAAAATGAAAGAGACAAATTTGAAATTTTGACAAACTTCAGGGTCAAAATAGTAACGAAACTTACGTATAAATTACAAATTTCTGGAGTAGATAGTCGTTCCAAGAATAGTCGAACTGAACTTTCAATGTCTCAAAGATCCTTTCTTTCTCTTGTTCCATTAGATCTTTTCTTTCACTGTTCGATTGAGGAATTCTCTGTTCTTTTTTTACATATTGAATTAGCAACCTCGCTTTCTTCGTGATTTGTTTTGGAAAGAACCAGATAGAGAGTTTTGCGGTTGTTTTGTGATGGGAAATTGGAGAAATCGACCCCCACGTAGATTTTTCAATCGACAAAGAGTTCCAAAGTCACCTCCTGAATATGAGAAAGTCCCTTCTTCTTCAGGTATATTTCTTGATGGATTTTAACTTTTAAGTTGAAAACATATCTTCTGGCTTGATTTTCTGATTGAATTTTTTTTTTTTTTTTTAATTTTTTTTTCTGTTATTGTATTGTGGTAATTTAATCGTTGCTGTGAAATTTCGAACTTAACATGGACTGAATTTTGGTAGGAGCGAATACTGAAGTAAAGAAAAAATCAATAATAAATAGATATAAAAGTAAGTGAAGAGAATTGGAAATATTCAATTGTTGGCTTGTTTTAAGTTTCGTATGGGGCAATTACTGATTACTCATTTGAGATTTTTGCTGTAATGGGCATTACTTGTACTGATTTTCGGATATAAAGATGAGTGTACTTTTAGTGCAGAGTGGTGTGAGTCTGTTTTTAGTAAATATGCAAGTTAATATCGTTCTTTAAAATTTTGATTTTGGTTCTAAGATTCCATATATGTGCAATTGTTATTTTATCTTATTTGTTGAGTTTGTATAACTTCTTTAGGTTTTAATTGTCACTGATTGTTTGGTGTTCATAAATGCTGGTAATTGTGTAGTTTTTGGCAAACATGGTTTGCTTTCAAAATAAGTTGAAACTACCGCATGCTAAAGTTAATTTGGCGATTTTGGGGTTTTTCTTTCTAGAAGTACAATAGGCATGGACAGGATAATATTCTAGATGAGCAACACATTCACCCCTTTCTCGTGCAGCAACTGTGTGAGACATAAAGGTTTTATGAATGATGGATTAGAATGTTACGTCTTGGTATTCTAACATTGTCACTTAAATACACAATTGGAAGGTTTATTAATAGATGATTTGACACTCTCAAATTGTGCAAACTGCACTTTGAACTCCCACTTTGACACACTTTATTTTTGAACATTAAGAGAACAATTTGTATCTTCTATTGCATCGTTTAGCTTATGTTGTCAGCTCAAGATAATGATGGTCTCCAGGATACTTCCCCTAAACTGTAATATTTGCACATCAGATTTGAATAAAGCATGAACGCCGCTTGGTGGTTTAATAGTAAAATAGTAATATATGTGGTTCTTTAAAATTATCTGTGCAATGGTTAAACATGATACTCTCTTTTTCCTGCGTGATCTTTATTTTCCTTAGAAAGGATAATGGATTTGTTTGAATTTTTGTTTCTACGTTAATGTTCTTCCTTTAACAGGGTATTTTGAAGATGGTATACCTTTGTGGGAAAAGAAATTTTGCTCTTTGATAGGGTCAGTACCCTGGCAGAAGGTTGTGCGTGCCAAGAAGTTTATGTACAGCAATAATGTACTTAATTGGGATGACTCAGCTGGCAAGGAGGCATTTCATAATGCAAAAAATCGCTTTTGGGCAGAGATCAATGGCTTCCCCTGTGACATCTCTCTCCCTGATCCAGATATTTATATTGATGAAATAAATTGGGATCCTGATATTGATCCTGAACTGATTAAGGACTTAGAATCTGTTTACTTTGCTCCTAATGATGGAGAAAACAATGGAAAGTTTGGACATAGAAACAAGAAGTCCAGAAATTTAACGGCTGTTGCTTCAAAAAGCTGTAATGGAAATTCTGAAATCATTGATAATCCATGGGAGAGTGACAACAATATGCAAGGTAGGGATACTTTGAAGGATGAAGCACAGGACGGGAACCAGTGGGATAATAGTAACAATAATTCGAAGAATATATATCAGGATGGCAATCCCTGGGAGAGAAGCTTTACTCAGGGTGATGAAGCTGTGAACGCTGAAGTACACGGCTGGAACCAGTGGGAAAATAATAACAATAATTCACTGAATCTAAATCATGATAATAATCCCTGGGACCACAGCTTTAATCAGTGCAATGAAGCTCTAAAGAGCAACGCATGGGGAAGTTGTGGCAATAAGTCTCGGGGTTGGGATCACGGGGTAAATCATGTCAAACAGTTTAGTAACTGGGATAACAGTGCCAGTTCCTGGGAGCATAGCTGTCAGGGTGTTTACCCTGTGACGGATAATAAAGTATGGGATGACATTGGGAATAATTCTGGGTGCTGGAATCAGCAGAAGTCTTGGAAGTTGAATAGTGGTGACAATCCTTTGGAGCACTGCTTTATTCAGAATGGCGGGCCTCCTAAAGATAGAGGACGGGGAGATTGTGGAGGCAATGCATGGGGTTGGAAACAACAAGACAATTATAGAAGTGCACCAAAACATTCAGAATTTGGAAGAAGTGGTGGGGGTTGGGGAGTCCAGAACAAGGGTTGTCGGAAGAGGGAAGGCTCTCATCTAACTAGTTACAAGAGCTATGGATATCAGCAGGGCTATAAGCAAACTGGTCAGTGCTGGAGGAAAAGAAATGCTAACAAGAGGGTCCAGTTCTGCACTTGAGTAGCCACTAGCCAGTGATGTAGTATAGGCCTTCTGTTTGCTGGCAAGTCATCCCATCAGCTTACCGATTGGGTGAGACTTGTTTATCTGTGGCTTGTGGCATTGGGTGAAAGCTTGTTTTGCGTACTGTTTTATGTTTTGTTTCTTTGCCTATAATGGAGGGTAATTATGTGCTTTTTGTATGCAAATTATTCTACGCCGGAGTATATAATACTACGGTATTGGGATAATGTTATCTTACATGTCAATCATTGGTTTGTTATATTGAAGAGGCAATGCAATGAATGACATGAGAGGATAACATAATCTCAGCAGCATAAGTCTTTCTCATATAGATGTATGCAATTCCCTTTTCAGTTGTGACTTTAGTGGGGCAAGTTCATGCTACCTCATTAAGCCATTGTATTAGTGAAACTTAATTCTTGGAAGAAACTGCATTCTGCCAAGTGCCAATACCACGGTACATATTGTAAAATTGAAGATTCAACAATAAAAAACTGCACCATAAAGCACATAAAACTACACTTAGTCGATTTACCCTTTTTATTTTCGGTAAACAAATTATAATCACTTGTATTTTTTCTGTCACCATAAAGAACATGAAACTGCACTTGGTTGTTTGCTTGGAATTGAAGATTCAACAATTAAAAAATCAGACACTCTCAAGAATGAAGTATCATTTCATTGTGTTGAAAATTGCCAGGTTCATTACTTGTCTTAATCTGATCAGAGCTTTACATAGTAGTTTAGGGATACTATTTTATTACTATTTCATTACTTCGTCTATGAGGTTTGGGAAAACTCAACTCATAGTGTCATTTTCCAAATTTTCTGGACCAAAGGGTAGTTTCCTCAAACATCAAGGACTAAAGGGAATTTCCCTACTGAGATACATAAACGAGTCGAGTTTTTGAAACAAAGGGCTGTGACTGTGACTGCCCAAAAATGCCGCCTCAACCGCCACTAAAACCCTACTTCTTCTACGGCCACCGGAAGCCCTCCCAAAACCGACCCACGGTATACGGCGGCCTATTCTCCAATCGTCAATCACTCAAAAAGCCAGACCCCACACCCCACCTCCCATCACAGCCTTTTAATATCCAGAAATGGGACCCACATTACCTCCCCTCCCAAGCTCATACTCGATCACCACCGTCCATGACACCTCTCTCCATCTCTGAACGCCTCTCCCCAATCGCCCGCTTCATCATCGACTCTTTTCGCAAGAATCAGTACCGCTGGGGCCCAGAAGTCGTGACTCAGCTTCAAAAACTCCGGCGCGTTACTCCGGACCTCGTGGCCGAGGTACTAAAAGTGGAAAATAACCCTGTACTGGCCTCCAAGTTCTTCCACTGGGCGGGGAAACAGAAGGGTTATAGACATACTTTCTCATCCTACAACGCCTTGGCTTATTGCTTGCACCGGAACAAGTTATTTCGCGCCGCGGATCAAGTCCCTGAATTGATGGAGGCTCAAGGTAAGCCGCCCACAGAAAAGCAGTTTGAGATTTTGATTAGAATGCATAGTGATTGTAATAGAGGGAATAGAGTTTATTATGTGTATCAAAAAATGAAGAAATTTGGAATTGTGCCTAGGGTTTTTTTGTATAATAAAATTATGGATGTCTTAGTTAGAACGAATTGTTTAGATTTGGCTTTATCGGTGTATGAGGATTTTAAAGGACATGGATTGGTTGAGGAGAGTATTACTTACATGATTTTGATTAAGGGATTGTGTAAGGCAGGGAGGGTTAGCGAGATGTTTGAGATTTTGGAGAAGATGAGGGGAAATTTGTGTAAACCGGATGTTTTTGCTTACACAGCAATGCTAAGGGTTTTGGTTTCGGAGGGGAATCTGGATGCATGTTGGAGGGTGTGGGAGGAAATGAGAAAAGATTTGGTTGAGCCGGATGTTATGGCGTATGTGACATTGATCACGGGCTTCTGCAAAGGAGGGAGAGTGGAGAGAGGGTATGAGTTGTTTAGAGAAATGAAGGAGAAGGGGGTTTTGATTGATAGGGCGATTTATGGAGTTTTGGTTGACGGGTTTGTGGGAAAGGGGAAGGTTGGGAAGGCATGTGATATGTTGAAGGATTTGGTGGATTCAGGGTACAGGACTGATTTGGGAATATATAATTCAATTATTGGAGGATTGTGTACAATTAAGCGGGTTGATAAGGCTTATAAGCTATTTGAAATTACAGTTCAAGATGGTCTTGAGCCAGACTTTTTGACTGTGAATCCCCTGTTGGTTTGTTATGCAGAAATGGGGAGGATGGATGATTTTTGTAAGTTGCTCATGCAAATGAAGAAATTGAGATTTTGTGTGGTTGATGATCTTGAGAAGTTTTTTGAGTTTATGGTTGGGAAGGAGGAAAGAATTAAGATGGCCTTGGAAGTGTTTGAAGAATTAAAAGGGAAAGGCTATGGTAGTGTTTCAATTTACAATATACTTATGGGGACTCTCCACAAGATTGGGGAGGTGAAAAAGGCATTATCACTCTTTGGTGAAATGAAAGATCTGAATCTTGAACTAAATCCATCAACTTATAGTATTGCAATTCAGTGCTTTGTTGAAAATGGAGATATCCAGGAGGCTTGTACGTGTCATAATAAAATAATTGAGATGTCTCATGTTCCTTCTGTTGGTGCTTATTCTTACTTAGCTAAAGGGCTTTGCAAAATTGGAGAGATTGATGCAGCTATGATGCTAGTTCGCGATTGTTTAGGCAATGTTACAAGTGGGCCCATGGAATTTAAGTACGCACTTACTATTATTCATATGTGTAGGTCAGGTGATGCGGAGAAGTTGATTGAAGTGCTAAACGAGATGATGCAGGAAGGTGGTGCCCTTGATGATGTTATATGTTCTGCTATAATCTATGGCATGTGCAAGTATGGAACATTGGAAGAGGCGAGGAAAGTTTTCACAAATTTGGGAGAGCGCAAACTTCTCACAGAAGCCAATACAATTGTTTATGATGAAATACTAATTGAACATATGAAGAAGAAGACAGCAGACTTGATCCTAGTAGGATTGAAGTTTTTTGGTCTGGAATCCAAGTTGAAAGCAAAGGGTAGTAGGCTGCTCTCAGGTTGAAATTATGAAGCCAGATTTGAATATTTCTAACCTGGTTATAAAATAAAACATTACCTGTTTGAGTAAATCCAACATTAAATTGGATTTGTGGTGGATATATAAGTAGATGTCTTTTATATGTTCTGCCAGCATCTCTGCAATGTGCAAGAACACAATATGGGAAAAGGCAAGAAAAGTTGTCACAAATTTGAGAGAGTGCTAACCTCAAAAGGTTGTCAATACAATTGTGTATGATGAATACTAGTTGAAATGCCATCAGGATTGAAGCTTTTCTCAGTGGAATTCAAGGGTGGAATGCTGCTGTAAAGCTTAAATTAGAAGCCAGCTACTGATATATTTTTCCTTTTCTGCTATATTCATTTAGGATAAGTTGATTTGTTAAGCACAGTACTTTCTGCATGTGACATCATCTTTACAGATAATGCTGTTACATTAATCAAGAACAGGTAGTCTGTTGCAGGGTTGTGTTTAAGGCCCCGCATCAACAAATTAATTATTTACCGGTCTTGGTTGATTGATGTACATGGACGGAAGACACACGAATACGTATACACCTAGCACTACCTCCCACAGACAGGTGAGTCTTGGATCCTTTGTGTGCTCACAACTTTTCAGGTCTCTCCGCGTACAACCTTAATCTTTTAGTTATAAAATTCTTCACCTAAAGCTTTACTTATTCTGGAATGCAGATCTTAAACAACATCATTGTTCTTGCTAGCAAATGAATTCAATCAGTACACGTTTTTGTAGCCAAGACATAGTAAATTCATCAGAGTGATTTTTGCTGCTGTCTTTTTTGATTCTGGAGATATGAGGCATGTTGAAGAAGGCCCAAGAGAACAAGCCTGCTTTGCTTTTGGTCGCCTATTGAGTTTGCTTCTGGTTGAGAAATGGAAGATGTACAAGTGTGTATCTATGATCAGAGACTTAAGCTTGAACCTAAAATTAGTGACTCGCTTTCAGCTAAGAACAAGTTGAGCTCCAGTTGTGCTGGTTTCACCTGTCGGGGTAGTGCATCTAATTCCAGAGAACAAGTTTTGAATAATTGAATTGTTGTTTGTTGGTGACATTAAAGAGTTTTTTTTTTTCCCTTGACATACTTCTCGGGTTTTCTAAAAAGGATTTGGGAGACTCAATTTCTTTTTTCAGTAAGTAATGTAACAAGTATTGACCTTAGCTCAACTTTGCTTAAGATTATCTTCATACAATGATTGAACCTAAACGAAAATCTCACACTTTTTCCACTGTCTGAAGATATCATAAACTGATTTAAATTAGAGCAGGAAGTTGATTAACTGCATCTGTTAACAAAATGTTTTTGACAGAGGCACAGAATCTCATCAGTATGCGTTGTGTTTGAAAATGGAAATTCATGTAAGATCATCAGATGCTCGTCAGCTGATAGCTCAAACAAAACAAGTAAGTGGTATTAATTCCAACAAAATATGGTGCTCCACAGGAAGTGTATCACTCTTTTGTTACAGTATTCTGTACTTGGAGTCTTGGATAAATATACAAGACCTTCCAGATTGATATGTAACTAGAACAAAATCCATATTTTTACATTAACAAAGTACTAAAACTGAAACAAGAAACTCAATGAATTTGAAGCTATGAATTAGGACTCCAGGAAAGAGATGTACAGATTAGGCTTAAGCTTCCCTTTTAGGACGATTTCGAGTGCGCGGAAGCACGGGTTCCTGTACCTTCTCCACAAATATTTTCACTTCATCTTCTTTGCTGTCACTGCCATCATCTCTGCCCTCTTCATCATCCTCTTCGTCCTCTTCCCTCATTGCTTCATTAATTATAAGCTAAACCATCAAACCATGGAAGTTAATATTATATCTTGAATTTGTGCCAATCAAAACATCAATTACAAAGTAGTTAATCCCAACCACCTCAAGCAAAGGCAAAATCTTTCAAATCATAACATACTAAATCAATCAACCCAGTTGATAAAATTACACTAAAATGAACTTTATAACATCAAAATTGAACACCATTTTTCAGATAGCCTCCAACTTCAACCACAGCCAACCAAATTAAAAAAAAAAAAAAAAAAAAAAAAACCAGTTACGAAGAAACTAAAAATACCTCTTCAAGAAACTTTTGGTCAAGTCTATCGGCGACTCGAAGTGAAGTAAAGACAGTGATAGCGAGGAGGGAGAGAGGGAGGACGAAAGCGAAGACATAGCTGCTAGTGCTGGGCCCTGCACGTGTCACCACCGTGAGGCCTCTGTTTCTAGGGGAGAAACGAGAGCCGAGACCCTGATAGAATGGCATGCGCGAAGGCCTGAAGTATGCACATGAGGATGAGGGTGTGGTAGGAAGAGACAGAGTTGGAGAAGAAAGTGAATTGGGGATGAGGAGACTGGCCATGTTTAGCAGCTTCCTAATATCTCCCAACACTGTTAGTGTTGGATTTTTTCTCGAAGTTGTTAAATAAAATAAGTTGTAATCCTCTAACAGCGACGAGAATTACAAGAAGACCCCTTATAGTTTGAAAAATTGCAAGTTAGTATGCTCTTCCTAGGGGTGAGCGGTTCCGGGTACCCTGCACTTTTCTGGGGAACCAGAACCGGAACCGCACAGTACAGGTTCCCAAAAAAAGGAACCAGAACCGGAACCTAAAATGCAGGTTCCAGTTCCTTTCCAGGGTACCCTGTAAAAAATAATTACCCCCCTATTAGTTTAAAAAATAACAAAAACACCTTATAAGTTTACAAATACACCCCTAACAAATTTTCGTTATTCATTCATTTGTGTCCAATGTAACTCATAACCTGTAATCTCTAAGCAACGCTTGAATTCAACCAATTCATCACAATTCACATAAAATTCGTCAATCAAAACCAAAACACAAACAATTATTCATCATAATTACATAAAATAACTTCCCCAAAATCATTTAAACAAACAACAATTCTTAATACTAATTACTAACATTGCCATTTGCCAGGGGTCTATTTGATAAGTAATAAATTATTAATGTTTATAAATTTATTAATTTAATGTTATAATGGTTAATGGGTATTTATAATATACCAAAATAAATTTAGTAAATTTAATATTAGAAACAAGTAATGTTATAATTAATAATGAATCATACTACATGTAAATGTAATGTTATAATTAATTAAGTGATCATACTACAATGTAATTGTAATGTTATAAAATTAAGTAATATATTATTTAATTATAATGTAATTTATAATTAATAAATTGTTAATCATTTATTAAGTATTATACATTGTTATAATAGAATGTTAAATAATTAAATAATCATACCATAAATTTATAATATAATGTTATAATTAATAAAATTATAAAATTCGATTAAATATTGTGCAAATTAGTAAATACTAATGTTTATAATATAATGTCATAATCAATTAAGTAATCATTTAATTATGAATGTATATTAATTATATGATCTACTATAATAGTATAATGTAATGTTAAATGAATTAAGTAATCATACTACAAAATCTATAATTTAATATTATAATAATTAAATTTCAAACATTATAATATAATTAATGTTTAAATGGAAGTTATAATTGATTAAGTAACATATTACAATATATAAAGTAATGTTATAATTATTAAATTTTTAATCGTTTAATTAAGTAATGTAATAGTATAGTAAATTACTAATGTTTATAATGTAATGTATAAATTCATAACTAATAAGTAATTATGTAATCATTAACTATATAATGCTAAATTAAATAAGTGATTATAATAAATGAATATAAATAATATTATAATTTAATTGAGTAATTATTTAACTATAATGTAATGCTTAATTAATGTTTTAAGGTAATGTTATAATTAATTAAATTTATTATCATTTAATAAGTATTGTGCTAATGTTATGTAGTAAATTAGTAATTACTAATATTTAAAATATAAATCATAACTCATAATCAATTAAGTAATTATTTAATTATGTAATGTATATTAATTATATGATCATACTATAATAGTATAATGTAATGTTATAATGAATTAAGTAATCATACTACAAATCTTAATTTAATATTATAATAATTAAATTTCAAATCATTTAATTAATATACTAATGTTATAATGGAATGATTAATTAAGTAATGTAATAGTATAGTAGATTACTAATGTTTATAATGTAATGTTATAAATTCATAACTAATTAAGTAATTATGTAATCATTTAACTATATAATGCTATAATTAAGTAAGTGATCATAATATAATGTAATATAATATATTATAATAATAGAGTAATTTTAACTATAATGTAATGCTTAATTAATGTTTATAAGGTAATGTTATAATTAATTAAATTTCTTATCATTTAATTAAGTAGTGGCTAATGTTATGTAGTAAATTAGTAATTACTAATGTTTAAAATTAATATCATAACTCATAATCAATTAAGTAATTATTAATTATGTAATGTTATATTAATTATATGATCATACTATAAATAGTATAATGTATATATAATGAATTAAGTAATCATACTAAAATCTATAATTTAATATTATAATTAATTAAATTCAAATCATTTAATAATATACTAATGTTTATAATGGAATGTTATAATGATTAAGTAATGATATTATAAATATATAAGGTAATGTTATCATTAATTAAATTTTTAATCGTTAATTATGTAATGTAATAGTATAGTAAATTACTAATTTTATAATGTATGTTATAAAAAAACTCATTAAGTAATATGTAATCATTTAACTATATAATGTTATAATTAAGTAAGTAATCATAAATAATGTAATATAATAATATATAATTAATGGGAATTATTAATTTAATGGAATGCTTAATTAATTGTTTATAATGAATAGTTTTTAAGATAATGTTATAATTAATTAAATATTCTATCATTCAATAAGTATTGTGCTAATGGTTATAGTAAATTAGTAATTCTAATGTTTAAAATATAATATCATAACTCAAATCAATTAAGTAATTATTTAATTAGTAATGTTATATAATTATATGATCATACATAATAGTATAATGTAATGTTATAATGAATTAAATAATCATACTATAAATCTATAATTTAATATTATAATTAATTAAATTTCAAATCATTTGATTAATATACTAATGTTTATAATAGAATGTTATAATTGATTAAGTAATTATATAAATATATAAGGTAATATTATATTAATTAAATTTTTAATCGTTTAATTAAGTAATGTAATATAGTAATTAGTAAATTAGTAAATACTAATGTTTATAATGTAATGTTATAAATCATAACTAATTATGTAATATGTAATCATTAACTAGTAATGCTATAATTAAGTAAGTGATCATAATATATAATGTAATATAAAATATTATAATTTAATTGAGTAATTTATTAACTATAATGTAATGTTTAATTAATGTTTATAATGAAATGTTTATAGGTAATGTTATAATTAATTAAATTCTTATCATTTAATAAGTATTGTGCTAATGTTATGTAGCAAATTAGTAATTACTATGTTTAAAACATAATATCAAACTCATAATCAATTAAGTATATTTAATTATGTAAGTTATTTAAATTAATAATCATACTATTTAATATATAGGTGATAACTATTAAATAATCATACTATAAATTTTTAAGTAATATATAATAATTAAAATTTAATCATTAATTAAGTTTGCACTAAGTTTATAATAAGTCAATTAATTAAGTAGTATCAATTTATGTAATGCATAATTAATTATACTATAAATCAATTAAGTAATGTATAAAATTATAATTAATTAAGTAATCATTTAACTATAATGTAATGTTATAATTGATTAATATGATATTTAACTAGTAATTAAATTTATTAAGTTTATCAATTTATCATATAATAATTAATTACTAATTTATTATAGATATACTTAGAATTGATAATAAAGTAAATAAATAAATATATTATTACTCAATCAATATACTATTTTATTCAAAATAATTCTTTTAATAACATTAAAATGTAAAACACTTTTAATTGATCATAATTCCAATTATTCACTTAATTGATCAAACTTATATTAATGTATTATAATATATTAAAGCTTTTAATATGGTGTAATTTATATGTAATGTATAATTGTATTCGTATATTTATTTAATTAGGTTATTCTAAAAATTTAACTTTTCTATTTAAATTTTTTTATATGTAAAATAATAGAAACCCCCCATTATTACATTTCACAAATATTTCATTAAGTCCAGGTTCCAAAATAGGTTCTAAACAGGTTCCAAAAACAGGTTCCAATATAGGTTCCAAACAGGTTCCAAATAGGTTTCAAAACAGGTTCCAAAACAGGTTCCAAACAGGTTCCAAACAGGTTCTAAAAAGGTTCCAAACAGGTTCCAAAACAGTTCCAAAACAGGTTCCAAACAGGTTCTAAACAGGTTCCAAACAGGTTCTAAACAGGGTACCCCCTACAGGTTCCAAACAGGGTACCTTTTTTACAGGTTCCGGTTCCGGTTCCTCCGGGGTAAGAAACGGAACCGGAACCGCACAGTAGCGGTTCCAAAAATTGGAACCGGACCTACCCGCACAGTGAGGTTCTGGGTAGGTTCCGGTTCAGTTCCGGTTCTTACCCCCGGTTCTGGTTCTACCCGTACCCGTGTCACCCCTGCTCTTCCATTACCATTACCATGTATGATTGCTGAGCTTTTGCAAAAGTCATTACACTGGTCCTTGTCAGATGATGTTAGAGTGCATACGTGGGTGGTTGTGTGTGTGGGGGGGGGGGGGGGGGGGGGGGGGGGGGGGGGTGTGGGGGGGTGGCGGTGATAAGAGGAGGTTGTGACCAAGATAACTTTGTTCATGTTGATGTTATCTCCGTTATATTTTGTGTAGGTCGAATATCATATTTTTCACATAATTTTTTACGTCAACGGAGAACTATAACCTTTTGTAAGATTATGCATATGAGAAACTATGATAGCCGACAACATGAATAGACGATCAAATAGCAAAAGACTTATTTTGATCAAGACCTCCTCACACACCATTCATAAATTGCTTTATATTATGAAGATGAAAAAAATTAAATATGCTTCTTATAATAATAATTGATTTTGTAAATATTTTTCTATGTTTACCATATTTGTTTATGCTGAATCAGAATACTTTATATTTATTTTCCCCTCTATTCACTTCAGCCACATTTTATGGATTAAACCTTAGCAATTTATTTAAACTGCAACTTTTTTTATTGAATTAATGGATAAATTAGAAGTATCCATGAGGGAAGATTCTTGATACCATTGAAGAATGCAATAAAAAGAGAGGTCATTGAATAGTAAAAGAGGAGGTGGGGAAACTGTTTTATTTGTATTGTTTTACCTTATTGACAGAAATAAACTGCCATCTTATATGGAATTGAGGATAAATTAGAAGTATCCATGTGGAAAGAGGAAGACCCTTGATACCAAAAATATAATTTACATTGTTGAAGAATGCAATCAAAAGCAAGAGGTCATTGAATCAGTAAAAAAGGAGGTCGGCAAACCTATTTTTACTTGTATTTGTTTTAGCTTATTGACAGGATACATTGTAGTTTTGCATTCAGAAATTTAACAGTTGGCTGGCTGGCTGTAATTTACAAAGGGACATCTCAAAAAATTATAACTGATAGTTTCCAGAGACCATAGACCTGGTCAAATTAGAACATCTCAAATCCCAGATTATACATTAACCTGCACATAAATTAATAAGAAGAAAAAATTGGTCTGCAAGACATCGATCAATAAAGTTGCGTCATGTAATGATGTGTATATGTTATACATCTCAGGATTGGATAAATGTACATACATCCGTTATATTGTAGATTCCACTCATAATAAGGTGATCCAACAAAAAATATTTTAAGAGTTAATCGTGGATTCCAAAGTGTACTCTGAATATGAAATTAGAGCTACACTATTTTCCGCAACATTGTGTTAGTTATAAATAACAGTTTGTGTTGTTTAACTTCCTTATAGTCGATGGCATTAAGCTTCCATATTCCTAGTGACTTCTAATTCTGAGTTCCTTTTATTCATAATTTGATCATCTCAAATTTTTGTCTTTGCCTTCTCTCAAAAAATACTTTTAAGCTAATATGAGTAACCGAATGGAGCCAGTTTTTGCTCTAGTTTCTACTGTTTTTGTTGTCATCATTATGCAGAGCCTTATGCTAACAAATGTTGAGGCAAAAAGCAATGTATGTAATATTTTTATGTATATATCAAACTGAACACAGTTTCTTATTTGTGTGTTTAGATCAAAATTAAGCTTTAAATCTCATGTTGGTAATCTTTTTTTTTTTTTTTTTTTTGGTCCTCTGTATATGCAGGTTCATATTGTTTATCTTGGAGAGAGGCAGCATGATGATCCCAAGGTAGTCACAGATTCACATCATGAATTGCTTGCCACCATTATTGGGAGGTATGAGATGAAGCTAGAATAACAACAGTTCATTGAAAATCCTATATGCTTGATTTATATATAAAGTTTTCGAGGGAATTTAATTCTGCAGTAAAGAAGAGGCCTCAAAATCGATGGTGTACAATTACAAACATGGCTTTTCTGGATTCGCAGCTAAGCTTACAGAATCTCAAGCACAAAGGCTTTCTGGTACTTGTTTGAACCATCAATGCTTTTGACTAGAAATTATATGACACTAAAATGTGCTTAAATTTTATCACTTTAGAGTTTCCTGGGGTGGTCCGAGTGATACCAAATAGCATTTTCAAGGTGCAGACCACAAGGAGTTGGGATTTCCTTGGCCTCTCTTCCCGTTCACCCTCTAATCTTCTTCACAATAGCAGCATGGGAGAGGGAGCTATCATAGGTGTCTTCGATACAGGTCCATGATCTCTCGATTAAATACTAATATTAAGTTTTGACATAATAGCTTAAGCTTATAGATAATTAAGACTCAAAAAATGTGGCATGATGAAACAGGAATATGGCCAGAGTCTAAAGCTTTCTGTGATGAAGGACTTGGGCCGATCCCATCTCATTGGAAGGGTACTTGTGAATCAGGGGACCAATTCAATGCCACAACTCACTGCAACAGAAAAATCATTGGAGCCCGTTGGTTTGTGGATGGATATCTCGCTGAGAATGGACAACTAAACACAACTGACAATGAGGAATACTACTCCCCAAGAGATGCAAATGGGCATGGCTCACACACATCTAGCACAGCAGCTGGCTCTTTTGTGCCCAATGTTAGCTACAAAGGCCTTGGTTATGGCACAGTAAGAGGCGGTGCACCACGTGCTCGCCTAGCCATGTACAAAGTCTGCTGGCAGGGTGGACAATGTGCATCTGCTGATATACTGAAAGCCTTTGATGAGGCCATATATGATGGTGTTGATGTGATATCAATTTCAATTGCTTCCGGGATGCCTGGGTTTGCTGAAGTTGATGAAAGAAATGGCATTGCTACTGGTTCCTTCCATGCTGTTGCCAAGGGCATAACTGTTGTCTGTGCAGCTTCAAATGATGGGCCCGTTGCTCAGACAGTGCAGAACACAGCACCATGGATTGTAACGGTTGCAGCAAGTAGCACTGATCGGGCATTTTTTACTCACATAACACTTGGGAACAATAGAACTATACTGGTATACATTGTCTTCTTTACTATGGCAACTGTCGTTATCAAGTTACTAATTTTTATTGCTACAAACTTGGTAGGGTCGATCCATTTTTACTGGAAAGGAGACTGCTTTTACAGAAATAGTATACCCAGAAACCACAGGACTCAATCCCACCTCTGCAGCGTAAGTCATATATATACAATTTACATGATATTGAATTCTCTCTGGTGCGTTCTTGTTAATAATTTTAAGTATAACTCACATGTTACGTAGGCTTAAGTTTAAAATTGAAGCGTAATTCACTTGGATCTTCCTTTATCATCTTGTAGTGAGATCAAAGATGCATCATTTAATGCTACTATGGTAGCTGGGAAAGTGGTATTATTATATGTGTCAACAATTCCTAGATACACTGGCACAAAAAATCCAATAGTAGTCTTGCAAGAATCAGGAGCTGTTGGCGTGATTATTGTCAGAACTCAATTTGATATATCGATCTCATGTTACAAGGACTTGGCCTGCGCTATAGTCGACTTAGAAGTTGGAAATCAGATTCTCATGTACATCCGTTCTACCAGGTACCCACATCACATGTTTCATCTTTTTATTCTGACTTGATTTGTCCTATCAATTCACTGAATATCTAGGGTAATTTGCAATGCTGTAGGTCCCCTGTAGTGAAGTTGAGCCCTTCTAAAACATTTGTAGGAAAGCCTCTTTCAGCTAAGGTGGCCATTTTCTCATCAAGGGGACCTAGCTCCATTTCACCAGCAATCCTCAAGGTACATTCTTTGATTTGAAGGGGAAGCTTTCTTGATAATTATTTATGGTGTACAAGTGCATCGTTGGAATCTTTCTGAGACTGCCTTGGTGTGGTCACAGCCAGATATTGCTGCCCCTGGAGTGAATATACTAGCAGCAGTTGCTCCCCATGATCAGTTTAACGACAATGGATTCAATGTGCTCTCTGGAACTTCAATGGCAACTCCTCATGTCGCGGGCATTGTGGCACTTCTCAAAGCATCTCACCACGATTGGTCTCCAGCAGCCATCAAATCAGCACTTGTCACAACTGGTATTTATTCCATGTCTACTCCTATTCAGACAAAAAATCAATTGAAATAGTTGATCATTTTAAACATGTTTACCAATTGTAATGCAGCATGGAAGAATAGTCCTTCAGGTTCTCCTACTTTTGCCGAGGGACTTCCCCACAACATTGCTAATCCATTTGATATAGGCGGCGGCATTGTGAATCCGAATGAGGCAGCAGACCCTGGTCTGGTATATGACATGAGCACTGCAGATTACATGCTTTACCTCTGTGCCACGGGTTACAACAACTCTGCCATCTCTTGGCTTGCAGGCCAAGCAACAATCTGTCCTAGTATAAAACCTTCAATTCTAGATGTAAATGTTCCTTCAATAACCATACCAAATCTTAGGGATTCCGTTACCCTCACCAGAACTGTAACAAATGTTGGAGCCTCTCAGATTGCAACTATACAGCAGTTATTGAACCTCCATTCGGCATTAAGGTATCAGTAACACCTCAAGTCTTGCACTTCAAGCCTACAGCAAAGAAGATCTCTTACCAGGTTACCGTCTTCACATCCCACAAGGTGAACACAGGATTCTATTTTGGCAGCCTTACTTGGACTGACGGAGTTCATGCTGTGAGAATTCCGTTATCCGTTAGAACACAAATCCTGGCACCTTCTCACGAATAATTAACTGAGTCATAGGTATGCAAGAGATCATGTTTCAGTTAATTTCTTCCCTGTTTTTGTTTGTAATTCAGTAGAGGTTCGTGTATTATGTAAACAGGTGTTAGTCCTGTATTGTAAGTCATGTCATCTGTACGAGAAAATGATTTGCAATTTATGCATGAAAATAATAAATATATAATTTCTTTCGTTCTCACACAACTAGTCAAAATACAATGATAAAGTCAAAAGGTCGGAAAGGTGAGGCACTTGAGTGTATATGATGACTTTAAACAAACAATTGAACAAACAAGTGTTGTGTGTGATTTTGCCAGAAAGCTGGCAAATCTTAGAAGCTTGCAAAGCTATAGTTCGCCTCAAATTCAGCTCAATCTAGGACATGTTCCACTCAGAATCAGTACGATCCAGCTTAAGCTCACCATGAGCGACCAATCCTATCAGTTATTTGGTAGATTAAGGATAAGCTTCAATCTCGAATATTTCGAAAGAGATAAGATTAACACTTCTGAATCACGGGATTACATATAAAATCTAATCGCAATCCTGAACTTATCTCTCTTTCTTTTATTTAAAACTTATATAAATATCTCCTCAAACTATGAGAAAGGGGTTAGCAAATTAGTATAGACACTTTCATATAATCTCTTGTAAGTTCTCATAGTAACAAGTTTGAATTATTAATTTTATATATAGTATTTATTCTAAATTTTTTAGTTGTTAGTGACTTAGTGCTGCTGCATTGGTAGTTCTTCCAATAGCTTGCTTTTAAGAATTTGTAAATGTCAACTACATTATCTTAGTTCTTCCCTTAAAGATCGACAAGGGTAATACTTGGTTACATACAGTACTTGAAAAATACCCTTCCTCAACAGGAGATCAGCTAACAAGAAGCGTAACCTTTTGTTATCAACCGTAAAAATCTGTGACAACTTGTTCTTAGCTGCTCTGAACTATGAAGAAAGTTATCAATTCCTGTCAAAAGCAATCAGTTAAGGAATTAGGATTTATTTTATTATCAAATTATTTATTACTGATTATTAGGTTAATATAATTTCATTATTTTATTTATTTTCTGTCAATTAATTTATATTTGTTAAACCGATTAACAATTTGAACCAGGGTTCGTATCTTTGAACGTGAAGTTTTGATGCTTTGTTTTGTTTCTTCAACTCCCATGCACATTGTTGATACTCGATTTTGACACCAACTAATCTCACGTGGGAAATGCTGAGCTGACTTATAAGACACGTGTGTATATGGGGATATTGGATTGAGTAAGAGATGAAGAACAATGTTTAAAGTGGTTCGGATGATTAAACAAGCGAATCCTACGTCCACTGATATTGTATTAATATATAACATCGGGTCGCGTTCAGCGAGCTGATTTGCAGCTTTGAGGATACAAGTGAATACAAGAGAGAGAGAAAATATGCTATTCCATAGTGAAATTAGCTAATCCCACAAACAGGAGGAGAGCCCTCTATTTATAGTGGGATGAATTAAGGCAATGATTACTGAATCCGTAAAATGAGGGTAGATACCGTGCAAATCCTTCTTTGCGTCCCGTTGCTCACCTGCTCGAGTGATTTCCTCAGTTTGTGCAGGGATTGGACACGTGGGCCGTTTCCAGCCTTTTGCCAATCTGGCGCACACCCACTGCACTGGCAGGAGCATGCCGCTCACGTCAACATGCGATATGGCTGCGTTTGAATGGCTGCATAACCTACCTAAGCCCTGACCGCCTAAGCTGACAAAGCTCGACGTCAGCCCTACTTTTTCAGGCATAACAGAAGTTCCCTAGTTTTTAAGGTTTCAGAATCGAACCTTGAAAACTACACAATTATGCCTTGATTTGATGTGCGTCGAATGGACACTGGCCGATCCGACCTAGTTGCAAAGAGGCCGCGGAAACATTCCCATGTAGGCAACCTGAAATGATCTTCCTTAAGGTTCACGACCTGTTCTAGATCTTATTCAGTGTCATAACGATGATTCTGGTCTTCGACCGAGGTTTTTGACCTGATTACACGGCGAATTTTTTGTTAAAAGCAAAGTCACATCGCTTCGCAATTGGCACGCGACAAAGGCAAAGAGTCACGTCGCTTCATGACTGACACGACGAAGAGTGTTTAATGTAATGACCTCTTCAGATGTTATCCGTTGCACTTTTGTAGCTGGTGCATTAATGAAATACCTTTTGCACTAACAAACGTATCCTATGCGCAATAAGTGCCAGCCATGCACATTAAATGCGAGCTATGCTGAAACGACATTCCCTATCAGAACATTAAATGCGAATGTGGGCGCATTTAATGTGGAAGAGGGAAACGAGCAGTCGCTTGAGTGTTTCAACGGAAAGGAATGATGATTTGGTTTCTCGAAGCGTGACGGTCACTCTTCCTTGCTGATTAGCGACATGTGGTCACGATCAACGGTGAGATATGTTTTCTGCTGAAATGTCGTTTGACTTCAGGAAAACAAAGTGCCACTTCCTTTACTATAAAACCTCAGGCTCACCTCAGGTAATGCTACAATACTCATCTCTTCAGAGAAAGCAATAAACTTTTGTGAGCCTTGGTTTTCTGTCTTTCAGATTGGTGCACGCTTAACACTCAGAGTAGGAGGATCAATCTTCATACTCAAGAGGTAAGAATGGTTCCTCTACCATTTTATTTCTTATTTATTTCTGGTAGTTGCCATGCAGTGACAGTGTTTGCCGGTAGCTGATCGAAGATAAAATCTTCTCCTAGGGTCTGAGCCATTGGGGGTGGCTCTAAAGATTCTTTTAGGGTTTTTCTAGGGTTTAAGGGAGGAAGCATTTGTTTTTTCCTCCATGTCATCGTACGAAACAGTGTACGATGACTGAGTGACTCCTGCCTATCGCTTTTTTCAGATCGCAGAAGAATGGACCCTTCAACGACCAGGACAGATGAGGGAACCAGCTCGTCGGTGCAGGATGCTCCAATGGGTCCCCCTCAGGAGATTCTATCGGCAATCACTGCCAAGGAGATTCATAAGGTGGTAGACCAATACGCTCTCAGCGTAGAGGTCTTCCAGCATAGGACGTACACAGCTCGGAATACGCCAGAAGGAATGGCTGCAATCTCCAAGAATATTTTCAAGAGTGAAGGGTTGATCCCTTTTCACCATTTCGTTAGGTCGGTCCTTGATCACTTCGCGATCGCACTGTTATAGCTTACGCCGAATGCATATATGATAACTGTGGCTATGTATATCGCATGCGACGAAAATAGTTTAGGCGAGCTAATCATGCTAGAGCTCGGTTGCTTGTACATCCTAAAGAAGAGTAAGGACAAGGATTCCTTCTACCTCTCGAAGCGACCTATAATTGAAGCGGTAATACATAGCTACCCCGGCAATGTTGGGGCGTACGAGACGAAGTTTTTCTTCTTTCGATATGATGGCATTTGCCAATTTAACGAGCCGAGTAGGTTCTCATTTCTTTGAGTTCGCGAATTTCCTTTTTAGTATTCGCTAATCAGTTTTTTGTTTCTTTACGGTTAACAAGATGACCAGGTTATCAGCTCTCGAGGATCCTGACAAAATCACTGCTTTCGGCTTTTTGCCCGAAGTGAGTCACGACGCGAGACTGCTCATGACAACTGCGAACTTGCGAAAGTACGGTTTCTTTAATCCCGAAGCGACCTTAGAGACCACATCGAGTAAAAACTGTAACCTTAGCCTATTTTTTAACTTTGCATGCAGCGAATTGTTTTGCTAACGATGTTAACATGCAGCAAACTATTTTGCTAATGATGTTCACATGCGTAACCATGCCTCCCAAAGTGCCCAAATCATCGCGACCAAGGCAGTTCACCTTCCCCCGAGCAGGCATAACCGGACCAGCTGGAGTGGCTCCCAACGATCCCCCCATCGGAAGGACACTAGCAGGTGCTCCGGTCCGACCTGCGGGCACTCCCCAACCTTTGGTTGTTCGCCTGAAGCAAAAGACTATGGCCCAAAAGTCCGAGAAGCAAAAGCAACTTCGGGTCAAAGAGTCAGAATCTGAGCCGGAAGGCCTGGGCATTCAGCTTGAGAGGTCGTAGCCTTACCAAACGTTTCGCTCGGGACGGCCTTCCAGGGGCGCGACCGGCATTTTCATTGCCCGAGAGGGTCTGCGGATGAGATAAAGGGAGGCCGCAAGTCATGGGAGGAGGTCAGGCAAAGGACCCAAAGAGGAAACTCCACCTGTTGTGGGCACGGGCACGCCTATGCTAGATTCGATAGGCCAACTCCCAGATCACCCACAGTTGGTGGTTTTCACCCTACTAGAATGCGGGCTCGCGGAGGCGTTCGAGCAATTCATGGCCTCTAACCCTATGGACCTGATGTCCACATCCTTCCAGAACTTGAGTCAGGTAAAACGAGTTGTCCTCGGTGAGGACTTCTTTATACTTGCTTTTTCAGTAGAAAGGAAACAAACTCTTTATTCTCTTCGATACGCAGGCCCTGCTCTCCATGCACCTAGCCTAGCAGAAGGCCCAACTGGGGGCTGTTGAGGGGCTAGTTGAGCTAAGATAAGAGAATGTGCGACTTAAACAAGACTTAGAAGCCACACAAGCAGAGAAAGACTTGTCCACCGTTCAGGCAAACCAGTACTTGTCTGAAAGCAATGCTGCTCTTCGTACGGTGGATTTTCAGAAGGTCGAGTTGGAGAAGCGAGGAGAGAAAGTAAAGGAGCTCCAAAGGACAGTGGCCAAAGTCACCAAAGAGGTTGGCGAGAAAGAAAAAGAGCTACAAACGAACTCCGAGCAGGCCTTGCGAGCAAAGAGGGAAAGAGCGGAGTTGTGGGAGACCACCAAAAAGCAAAGGTGGGCACTTGAGGCCGAACTCCAATTCACCTAAGGTCGGGTCACTTCGTTGATCACAGAGATGTAGCAGCAAGAATTGGAGATTGAAAGGAGGGTTACCGAGTGGACAATCCAGTCCATCTATGCCCTTCGGCCGAAGAACCCAAGATCGATCTGTCCGACCTCCCCGAAGAGTACTAGAGCACCCTCAACTCCATGGCACGGGCTGAGGACGAGGAAGCAGCTTGAGGACCTGACCCAGAAGAGGAGCATCCAGATCATGTCCTAGAGGAGCCCGCGCCTGGGCAGGTGATTGGTGACCAGCCTGAAGATTTTGAGGTCGCACCTCCGGGACCTCGGGATGAGGATCACTGATCGTTCCTGC